ACACAACTCCTCCACTTTCACGTCATCCACAGTTCCGTTGACATACAGGTGTTCATCCACTTGGAAGCTATCAATGAAGTGAATCCTACCGTTGATTTGGTTGTCACCGTTCAGAAGGACCGCCTCTTTGTCCAAATCTATTCCCTGAAACCTACCCAACAGTTGGATGTGACCTGAAATGCAAACTCTTGTAAAGCTAACCGTTTTATGAGATATTTCTCAAGACTTACCACTCGAGTGAACGGGTCCTCTAAACTGCGTCTGTCCTCCAATTACGGCCGATTCGTCCACTTTTACCGTATTATTGTTGACTACATTTAAATCGATGTTATTTATCACTGGTTTTCTCATCCGGATATTATCGTTGACTCGAACAGTGTTCTCGAAAATCATGTCCGCATTAATGGTTTGTGTGGTGTCTTGTAAAAGCCAATTGTGTTTGAGATCAAAGTCAGTGACGTTATCGAAAGAGTGTCTGAAATGCAAGGCATCGACAGTGACGGGGGAGAGGAATGTTTTGGCACCGGATATGGTTTGCGGGGTATCTGTGAGGACGGCGTCTGACATCAAATGCTTTAAATTAATTCCGTTTAGGGATTGGGTCTCAAAATTGGTGGCCTTTGGGATGACAATGGAGTCAAAGTTGAGTCGACCGGTCAGTGTCTGAGGCCTTTCGAACTGAAGACTGTTTTCGAAAATTCCTTTCATTTGGACCCCATTTATGACATCGGAGTCAAAGCTGTGGACATTGACATCGCTGTAAACGCGGACATCACTGAAGACTTTGGGCGCAGTTATCACTTCGTCGGCATTCAATAGGACGATGTCTTGCATTGAGATGTTGTTCATTGTATTGACTTTCAAATTCTTGATCCATAAGTCGCCCACAAATACCTTCTCTCCAGTGATCACTTGATTCGTGTCATAGAAAAGAGTGTCGTTAACGAAGTCCAAAGCGATTCCATTGATGCGATCGACAACTAAGTTGTCCACTTTCACTCCATTAGAAAATATTTTTTGACCGAAAATCTCTTGTGGAGTGTTTTTGGTCATCAGATCCGATGCTATTGAATAGATAAATCAAATGAGATATAACTTTGGTTTAAAATATTGTTGACAAAAATCATACCGATATTCAACTCATTAATTGCGGGACAATGTATTGACTTCATGATAGCGTTGCTCATCAGAAAGTGTGCAAATCCCTGAATACGAGTGTCCGTCAGTTTAAGCGCTTTATTATAAAGATCTTCTATTTTAATGCCATTTATAGCCGACTTTAAAGCCATCCCTCCGTCAAAGAAAGCGTCGCCTTTGATCTCCAATTCGTCAAAATGTTGAGAAGTGTTGCGTAAAAGAAGATTTTGTTTGAGTTGCGATAACTTGACGCCATCGACAGTTCCCCCCACAAGACTGTGTCCTCCCAAACGGATTCCGTTGAATATTTTGTGCCCAAAAACTGTTTGCACTTTAGATTTAGACATTATATCCAACTGTCGCTCCACTAAACCGATGCCATTAATAGAGTTCAATACATCCATTCGGTCTAATTTTGTTGTCTCTAAGAACTGTTTGTTCGCCGAAATAATGGTGTTTTCATTCTTCAGAATTATTTCGTTTGGAAGTTTGACACCATTTATGAGTCCATCGACTATTAGATTCCTATCAATCGTAATATCAGTGAAATTGATTGCAGAGTCGATGTGTTGGTCGCCATAAGTCCATAAGACATCTGACCATAACTTCATGATATCGATGCCATCAATAGAAGAGCCCATTCCTAACAACAGTTGGTTTAACTCTAATTCGTTGAAATGTTTGGCGCCTCTTATGATGTGATTGCCATCTCTGGTGACCACATCGCTCAAGAATTTCTCAATATGTATGCCATTGACGAGTCCGTTCACTTCAATATTATTTAACCGAATGTTGTCTTTAAATGTTAGGCTATTATTAATAAACTGATCGCCAATTGTGAGCAAAACAGTTGAAGGATTGATCATTTCCTCATTTATCAGATGATTGACTATCACTTCATTGGCGGACACATTGTTTGCAAAGGTCTTCGGAGCAATCATGTCATGACTTCCACTTTTGGTCACAATATCATTGGTCTTCACGCCATTCATCAAACCGTTTAATATTATGCTTTTATCAGCGATTAAGTTCTGGAAATGCATGGATTGGTTGATGTGTTGATCCATATTTAAGGGAATGATATCTTCAGTCAATCCGTGAATGTTATCATTATTTAAAACTTTAGTCTTGATTTGTCCGAAAAAACAGTCCATTTCTGGTCTGCACTCGAAATCAACGGAATTGAAAACGTGAGGAGCGGTCACCACTTGATCTCCAGACGTTCGCAGAGCATTGGATAGTATGTCAACGATTTGGCCCAACTGTGCTTCGGCGGCACTGATCTCGCGGTCCAATTGAATCAAATTATCAATTAATTTATGGCTCAACTCATCACCATTTGAGTCGTCTATGAGAAGGGGTGTCGAGAGGAAGTCGATCACAATGTCCGACAAAATCAAGTCATCGTTTATAACAATTGGTTCGCTTTGGTCGACGAAAAAGACATCTTTAAGGATTGGGACCTCATTTTGATTCACTTCTCTATCGGTGGTTAGACACCAGTCGAGACTTCTTCCGTGCCATTCGGCTAATGGGTTCTCGTGAGTGAACTCCATTCGGAACACCTGTCCGGTCGGCAGTTTGGGATTACTTACGGTCAGAAGAGCCGATCCTTGCGGTGCGAAGTGCGAGAAGTGTAGGGACACAACACCGGCACTCATGACACCAGTGGTGAACTGAACGCCCGCATCAATGAAGTTATAGCCGTTATATTGGTAGAGATGGACGGCCTGTGCACTACTGGACACGGCTAACACAAACTCGCCGTTAGGACCGGTATATGAGTTGATTTGTGTGGCGCCGACAGTGGATAATGGCTGGTAGGGAACAAACCTGTCGTCGGAAAACTTATAGATAATAGAGTTGACGTCATATATGATTCGGTTGCGACTGACGGCGAAATGGTTGGCCACCGCCAGGAAGTACTCTTTGTGTCGATCTTCGCCGATAGTGAAGAATTCCCAGTCTATGGCACCGAATGTGCGGATGCGTTGAAATGAGATCCACTTCTTGCGATCGATGTCCAGTTTGAAGATTTCGGACTCCACTTCCATTTGATTGGGAGCCGACTTATAGTTGGCCACAGCTATGAACTCATTGCTGTGTATATTGAAGGGACAAATGTCTTTCACGTAATAAGTGGTCATTTGTGAGTATCTGTCGAAATAGGTTTGCATCCAATTGTATGCGAAAGTCTCCGATTTGTATGTCTGTGTGGCGTCTTTGCCGTAAGAGTTGGCTATCGCTAAGTGGTATGTATTGTCTGTGCGAGACATCCACACAGCGATGGCAGTGGGGAAGCGACTGTTCACTGTGTGCTGTTCACGGGTTATCATCTCATTGTGCTTATTGATGACATAGACGTTAGTGCCGTCGCGACTGCCGGAGTCGGCCACCAATACGTAGAGGTCGTGCTCTTTGGTGTCTTTGTCTTCGTCCACAAACGCCACCACTTTTTGCGGGTCTATTACTGACCACGAGATGAGGTGTCGTTGCCATCCGGTGCCTGTGATGGCGCCCACACTTACTTTGGCCGGCATGTGACCCATGGCTTTGGACACACATATGCCGTACATCTGGTTATTGAATGCAATTGTCGTGAAGTCGAGGGCCGCCTCACAGGTGGCCATAAGGGGCACCACTGCTCGCAACCGATGGACACCCTATGCATTGGATTTGTGTTATTTGTACCCATATTTAGCTTATATTAAGTAAT